GAGGCAGAATATATTGAAAAAGTAGTATATACTGTGAAGCAAAGCGCAGAAGATGTTAAGAAGGTACGTAAATCTTTGTAATTTCAGGGCTATGCTGTTAAAGGAGCCACCAGTCTCCTCCTTGCCTGCCTTAGAGTAAGGGACATGGACCTAACATAAACAGAATTCATCAGAAACATCAAATGACCTGTTTTGCAACAGCAGTCTTTAGAAGTGTGGATGGAAAAGAATGGGAATGAATATGGAAGTATCTAATAAGTATGACTTATGCCCTCAAATCCAAACTTGGACAAGAGTTTAGAAGAATGCAATTAACTTAGGGGTAGAAGTCTTAAAACAGGATTTAAAAAAAAAAAAAAAAAAAAAACCAACTATACTGACAAAAACCAGGCATATTGAACTTGTATTTCTCTGCTGTAGTCAATTAAATTCTTCATGGCATACAGTAATTACCAGGCCATTTGAGAATATTTTAAAAGCAGGTTGGAACAGAGAACAGGTAGTAGGAAACCAAATCTTATCTCTTTGAGACACATTTTGAATTAACCTCTCACCTCTCATTGGAAGGCACTGTATTTTGCAGAGAAAAACTCACACAACCCAAATGTTTAATCAGAAGCCATGTAATAACTGAAACACATGTTTAGTTTCTAAATAATGCTTTAAAAACTTGGTGGTGGCGGGGTGGGGCTTAAAACCATTAAATGACTAGTCCCCAACTTTTTTGGCACCAAGGACCAGTTTCCTGGAAGACAATTTTTCCACAGACTGTGGGGTGGGGATGGTTTCAGGATGAAACTGTTCCAGCTCAGATCAGGCATTAGATTTCATAAGGAGTGCGCAACCCAGATCCCTTGCATGCACAGTTCCCAATAGGGTTCGTACTCCTATGAGAATCTGATGTCACCACTGATAACAAAAGCTGGAGCTCAGGCAATAACACTTGCCTGCCCACCCAGTTCCTAACTGGTCCGTAGGCCTGGGGGCTGGGGACGCCTGCATTTTACGGACCTAATTTCAGTATATAACTCCCTACTATTCAAAAATTTTCCTGGAAGTTACTCTAGCTTTTCAGGCATTACATAAGAGTAACCTCACTACCTCTCTCTAGGTTGGGGAAGAGAACAAAACAATGAGAAAAGTTCACTGCCACAGTATCAGACAGCTGTCTTTTCTATTGTGGTTTGTGTGGTTTCCTGCAGTAGAGGGCACAAATTTCTCAAGTACTCTGCTTCAGGACATTTTGCTTAATGACATTTTATCACAATAGAAACAAACAAAACCTCTTGAAATGAAATTTCCATAAATGGTTATTTGAACAGTTTCTAAAAAGAATAATTTGCATTCCAACCCCACACCCCATTTCTCTTCTCACTCACTCACTTCTTGCATATGCTACAATCTCACCTTTCCTTCCTATATCTTTTGTTTAATTTTTTTCCTCTGATTTCCTTATAAGCAAGTCTTCACAAACCCTAATTTAGTCAAGATCCAAAGGGCCTCCATTTCAATATGGGCTTCTCTAATATCTAATTTACTTTTGAAAAATCTGCACTTCTCTATGTAATTCACAATACAATTATGCTACAATTTTCTATAGAAAAGTAATAATCAAGAAAATGAGGACTTAGCCCTAAGGACCTGCTGCAACTCCAGAATTTTTTGAAATGTTCTTTAAAATCATGTCTACTTTGCGTTCAATTCCACTGTTTGAAGATAAAATTTTAAATTACTTACCAGTGAATAACTTAATGAAGCCTGAATATCCAGAATCCATGCCATGATTATACTATTGCTCTTAAACTGACACTAACATTACCACTTCTTTCTGTCTAAATGTGGAACTACAGACTTTAGATGGTGAACTTGATGAAAAATATAAAAAAGTAGAAAATTTAATTGCCAAAAAAACTGAGGAGTCAGCTGATGCCAGAAGGAAAGCTGAAATGCTACAAAATGAAGCAAAAACTCTTTTAGCTCAAGCAAACAGCAAGCTGCAACTGCTCAAAGGTGGGTCTTGTTTTTAATTATTTTAAATTTAAGGCATCGATAGTTTATTTCAAAGTGAAAAATCTATTCACTTTGTCTTGAGATCATCATAGTATAAATTGCTCAGACTTTATATATATCTCCCCAGATTTAGAAAGAAAATATGAAGACAATCAAAAATACTTAGAAGATAAAGCTCAAGAATTAGCAAGACTGGAAGGAGAAGTCCGTTCACTCCTTAAGGATATAAGCCAGAAAGTTGCTGTTTATAGCACGTGCTTGTAACAAAGGAGAATATAACAAAGGAGAATATAAAACGGCTGAGGTGACCAAGGTAAAACAGCTACATTTTAAAAACTGACTTAATGATCTTCAAAATAAAACTCATCACCTATTTAATTTTTTAATCACATTTTGTATGGAGTTAAATAAAGTACAGTGCTTTTGTATATATATTTTGGTGTACTTGTTACTTTTACTGATTGTTGATGAATCCCTTTAGCAAAGAATGTTTTTTTTCATGGTAAACTTGGATTTATAAACAAGTTTACTGCCTCCATGAAGACCCTAATTTATGTTGTCTATGAACAAGCTATTATATTTATCTGACAGGTAAACATCCTCCAAAACTCCACACCCTTGACTCCCCTCCCCCCAATCACCTTCCCAGTGGGATTCCCAGGTTGAGGTTAAGGAGGACAAATATCTATGCTACCATCACTGTTTCAATGGTTGCTGAGTTGCTCCAACCATCAAAACTCCTCTAAGTATTCCTTGCTCGAGGAATGAGAAAATCAGCAGGATGAACTAGGGCTTATAATCATTACTGCCTAGAAAAGGACCAGGGTTACTGAGGGGCAGGTTTCAATTAAATCAGGCCAGAATTTATGGATACTGCTCTTGCCAATTGAGCAATGCTACTACAGAGCACAGAATGATGCCCTAATTTCTCAGCTTTTGTATTGTATTTTGTGTGATTTTGCAACTAATCTAAGGAAGTAATTGCCAGGCCCATGTCAACTTTATTGCCTAACTAGCTGTATAAAAGGCCAGCCCCTATGTGTTTTTTTCACACACTCTTAGAGCAAGACTATTCTGTGGACTGCTTAACAACCACCCACACATCCAACACAGCTGCATCTGAAGCTGGGCCTGGACAAAAGTTATGTAAACAGCTGTAAGTCAGTACCTTTCCTCTGGCCCAAAGCAATTAATTTGTCACTTTTATGGTACTGGTACCAAAACAGATATACAGACCACTGGAACAGAACAGAGGTCTCAGAAATAATACCACACATCTACAACCATCTGATCTTTGACAAACCTGACACAAGCAATGGGGAAAGGATTCCCTATTTAATAAACGGTGTTGGGAAAACTGGCTAGCCATATGCAGAAAGCTGAAACTGGATCCCTTCCTTATACCTTATACAAAATTAACTCGAGATGGATTAAAGACTTAAACCTAAGACCTAAAACCATGAAAACCCTAGAATAAAACCTAGGCAACACCATTCAGGACACAGGCATGGGCAAAGACTTCATGACTAAAACACCAAAAGCAATGGCAACAAAAGCCAAAATTGACAAGTGGGATCTAATTAAAGAGCTTCTGCACAGCAAAAGAAACTATCATCAGAGTGAACAGGCAACCTACAGAATGGGAGAAAATTTTTGCAAAGAACTTCAACCCCATGAAAAAACTGGCGAAGGGTATGAACAGACACTTCTCAAAAGAAGACATTTATGCAGTCAACAAACATGAAAAAAAGTTCATCATCACCAGTTATTAGAGAAATGCAAATCAAAACCACAATAAGATACCATCTCATGCCAGTCAGAATGACGATCATTAAAAAATCAGCAAACAGATGCTGGAGAGGCTGTGGAGAAACAGGAACGCTTTTACACTGTTGGTGAGAGTGTAAATTAGTTCAACCATTGTGGAAGACAGTGTGGCAATTCCTCAAGGATCTAGAACTAGAAATACCGTTTGACACACCAATGCTATTACTGGGTATATACCCGAAGGATTATAAATCATTCTACTATCAAGACCCATGCACACATATGTGTATCGAGGCACTGTTCACAATAACAAAGACTTGGAACCAACCCAAATGCCATCAATGACAGACTGGATAAAGAAAATGTGGCACATATACACCATGGAATACTATGCAGCCATAATAAAGGATGAGTTCACGTCCTTTGCAGGGACATGGATGAAGCTGGAAACCATCATTCTAAGCAAACTAACACAAAAATAGAAAACCAAACACCACATGTTGTCACTTGTAAGTGGGAGCTGAACAATGAAAATACATGGACACAGGGATGGGAGTGGGGGAGGGAGAGCATTAGGAGAAATACCTAGTGTAGATGATGGGTTGATGGGTGCAGCAAACCACCATGGCACATGTATACCTATGTAATCTGCATTTCTGCACATGTACCCCAGAACTTAAAAAAAAAAATCCTAATAACTAGCAAAATTGTCATATCTCATCATCTACTAGAGCAATTATATAAGTATTTTACTTAACACAGTAGAAACTCTCCATTCCTTTTCAGCTAAACAATTAAAGATCTCACTTTGAAATTATTTTATTTTTTTTTTTTTTGAGACACAGTCTCGCTCTGTCGCCAGGCTAGAGTGCAGTGGCATGATCTCAGTTCACTGCAACCTCCGCCTCTTGGGTTCAAGTGATTCTCCTGCCTCAGCCTCCTTAGTATCTGGGATTACAGGGGCCTGCCACCACACCTGGCTAATTTTTATATTTAATTAGTAGAGATGGGGTTTTACCACGTTGGCCAGGTTGGTCTCAAACTCCTGACCACAGGTGATTCGCCCACCTTGGCCTCCCAAAGTGCTGGGATTACAGGAGTGAGCCACTGCTCCCAGCCGGTTGAATTTATTTTAATCAGTTCAATGAAGTGGACAATTAATCTCACTCTTCACAAGCTCTGAAAATATTGAGAGCTTAGTAGATAACAGTAACTGAAAAAACTTGTTTTATTCTTAGGACTTTATTCCCCACCCAGATTTGCATTCTTATACTGAATGTAAACACTTAAAGATGGATTTAACTGTTTTGTGTCTCTACATCTAGGATTCCGTATTAAATTATATTTCACTATTCCCTAACTAAAAACTTTTTTTCCCGAGTAAGGGATATGTTGGTATTTACATTAACAGCACTTCACGTGATACTGGGATTTCAAATTTTTAAAAAGATGCAGAGTTCACTTCCAATAATGCCAAAGTAGCACACAGATACCAGACCAACCCTCCTGCTGATCGCAACTGCAAACTCTGAACAAACATATTTTAGGAAAACTAAAGGCACTGGAAACAACTACAAACAGGTGGAAAGTAGAGGGGAGCTGGCACTTAAAAAGTGAACAGCACTGGCTCAATGTCTCATTTTTAATAGGTTCTCACTTGAAGGGGAAACAGAAGCCAAGTTTTATTGGTTAAGGATCAGAGGGCAGAATATGGGGCAACCACAACAGCTGGAACATGAAGGGGAAACCCCAAAAAAACAGGAGGCACAGAAGGGGCAGACTTCTGCCCAAACTCTGGTTGACCCCTGAACTACACACTTGCATGGGAAAGACTTCCAGCAGCATAGGTAAAGCTAAAACAACTGAGAAGGGATTTCAGCTGCTGCCACCTACAAAGAAGACAGAGTTTGGAGTTGGTGTTCAGCCAAGTTAGACAACTATCAATTTTCTTTAGAAGTATGTAACAGAATCCAGGGTCGTTATGTCACTCATAATGAGCATGAGACAATCTATGCTATCTATACCAAATTTCAGAACTACTTAATCTGAATTATTCTTAAATTTAGTTATAATATGCAAAAGCCTACTTAGCATTTAGTAATTTGTTACAATATACAAAAGCCTACTTAGCATTTAGTACTTTGTTACTTAAGTCTCCTTAGGACATGGTCATTTTAAACACCACACATCCAATTTTATACCACTCTTTAAATAGTCATTTACCCAGCCAAGGAAAACACAGATTAAAGACTCCCTTATGTTATACTTCTCCAAAAGTATATATTAAACATTTAGTAGGTGTCTCTAAAATAGATGAAAGGATAATGACCTTTAAAATGCCTTAATATTGTCCTATAACATGAAAATAAAGATGCATTCAGGCCTACTAAATAAGAATATACACTAGAGGTAGTCGTAAAAAAAACTACGACCATCTCAACACGTACTCATAATAACCAGTAAATGAATATTTAAGATGTTTATTTCAGTATCTTCATTCCCCACTGTAATACATTTGAATCCCCACGTATTTGAGTTCCGTAAATAGACTCTCTTAATTTGGATAACTATGTAATTACCCTTCAGAGTTGTAGACAACAATGGAATCTACCCCTAAACTAAAAGAATTCAGGGGTTAAATAAAACAAGTAAGAAGCCACTTACTTACATCAGTTTGGTTTATAGACATTTGAATCTTATTTGAATGACTGACTTGTTTCTAATGTGAAAACCAAATTAAAAATAACTTGATCACTTCGCTTCAAACACAACTGTTCACATATCAAATTCTAACTCCATCTATGTAAAATTCAACTTTTCTGTATCAGAGAAAAAAGCTATTTAAATTCAGTGGCATTGAATCTTTCATGAACAGCATGAAAATATGAGTTGACGGAGATATTCCAGGATGCTACAATAAGTAGCTTTTTGTCTTACATATTAGTGCACTGAAACAAAATACTAAATTTATGTAAAATATAGATATAAGAGTATTCCATTCTGTCCAAACCTATTAAATACCTTCCAAAAGTTTCATAATTCAGTCCTAGAAATTCTTGGAGCTGTGAGAATATCCTGTTCAGGAATGTGACTTCTACAAAAGCTCCCAGGAAATTTCAGAAAAAAAATATATAATCTTCTAATTCAAAAGTTGATTGATTTGCCAAATGATGCAGCAAGATTTGCTTCTCTAAAAGCTTCTGATAAGGTCTGCAAGGGAAGAAATTTAGAATTAAAAAACAAATATTTGTGGGCCAGAAGAAAATTTAGGCAACCATCAATTCTATATGTTGTTAATAATTACCGGATGTGCATGACAGACTCTAGCTATATCTTCACAGGATGCTCCATATTCCAAAGCAAGAGCAGCTTCATTTACCATTTCTCCAGCACCCTTTAAAATAACAAGCCAAGTAAATTTGCTACCATGGTAAAAACTACATGCTAATAGGATAGCAATGGTTAACAGAGGAAGCTTTTAGATCTTAAAAACGCCTTAAATCTGTCTATCAGTTGAAGAAAAGTCAGGAAAAGCTTAACAGAAAAGGTGACACTGAAGAGCTTGGGCTCTGAAGCCAAAGGGCCTTCAATTCATATCTACCATTTACTACCTTAACCATTCACTGGTTCTGTGTGCTTCATTCAGTTTCTTCACCTCAAAAATAACAGCACCTATCTTACAAAGCTTATGTAAAAATAACAAAATGTATACTAAAGTGACACAGCACTCAAATATTCTATTCTCATTATTGTTACATCAGATACAAGAGATATCTATAAGAAAGATATATACTTTAGGCTCAGTGGTAGGAAAGGCTTCCCTTAGGAGGTAACATTTGAGCTGAGACCTGAACAATAGGAGCCAGCCATTCAAAGATCTGGAGGCAGAACAGTTTAAGCAGAGGGTACCTTAAGCACAAAGGCCCTAAAATGCAAACATTTGGCCTGTTGTGAAAATGAGAGAAGGCCCATGTGACATGGAATTAATGAGTAAAGGAGAGCAGAAAAAGAAGAGGTCAGAAAAGTAGGCACAAACAGATTCAGTGAGGCCCTGGATGTAACAATCTGAAGTTGAAAAGCACCACTGGAGGACTTTCAGGGGCATAATCTGGTATATGTTTTAAAGAGAGAATCTTGGCTGCAGGACAGAAAGTAGATGATACAGTGAGCAAGACTGTGAGAGTGCTGCTGGTATTCTTCTAGAAATGATGTAGAGAGCGCCATATTCAAAGTTTTGCTGGAAATGAGCAACCTCAGAGTAACACCAGGCGGTTTATAATTAATAAACAGTGATGCTTTCTAGAAACCTTAATGGGATTTCTCTGGTTTTATAATACTCACTGGTCCAAGAATATGTGCTCCCAGTACTCTGTCTGTCGATTTCTGCCCAAGGATCTTCACCATGCCATCTGTGTCAGCATTTGTCTTAGCTCTGCTGTTAGCAGCAAATGGGAATTTCCCAACTTTGTACTCAATACCCTGTGTGACAGTCAGAAAAAAAGAATCTACGTAAGTGCCAGAAAAGTTCATTCCAATTAGTAACATCATCTACCATTTGTTCAGAAAATAAATCCCAAGAAGGCAATTGTTCGCACAGCACATAGAAGGAAAGACCAAAAGACTGGTTAATGAAATGTATCTTGGGCACAAATGCAAGCAAATACAAATGTCTTTCCATCTGGTTATATTTCAAAGCCAAATATAAAAAATCTGGAATTACTAGTTTTTTAATATAAGCAACTTCTCCTCCTCTCAATTACTGCTGATAAATCTGTGAATGATCTCTTTATAATGCTAACAAGGAAAAAATATATAAGCTAAACTATATTTCACAGCTGTTAAATACATTAGCATAATGATAAAATGCTGTTTCTCAACCACCAGTGTCATTGGCACAACTCACACATTGGCGTAAAACCACCCATGTTCAGACTTACCTCTTCTTTCAACTGCTCTTCTGATTTGCCAACCCAAGCAACTTCAGGGTGTGTGTAAATCACTGATGGCACACAATTGTAGTCAATGTGCACAGCACCACCAGCCATTCCTTCCACACAGATAATGCCTTCATCCTCTGCTTTGTGAGCCAGCATTGGACCAGCAACTACATCACCAATGGCATAGATACTACCACAGAAATCAAAAGAAACACAATGAATTTCTGAAAGCACAGCTACTTATCTTCAGTTACATCATGGTAACAGAAGTTTCCAGTAAATAAGTCACCAAAAAATGTATCAAATGCAGCTCTTCAAAAATCTATGAATTCGGCTTCTTATCTCTGAGTAAAATTCAGTTCTTTTTTATTTTACATTTTGTAAGTTTACTGTTCTTCCCCAAAGCCAATACATATTTTAAGCATAAAAATCTTACTTTTCAAAATACTGTTTGAAATAAATTTTAAAATTACTGAAAATGCAGACAATTATCCAACTTACTTTGGAATTTTAGTTTGAAATCTGGTATTAACTGGAATTCTACCTCTGGGATCTAGTTCAATTCCCAGCTCTTCTAGTCCCAAATTCTTAGTAAAGGGTCGTCGGCCAATGCAAACCAAGAGTACATCACAAGTGATAACTTCAGCTTTACCACCAGAAGCAGCTTCAATACTAGATAACAAACAGTATATAAATGTTAAATACATATCTGCATAAATTGATAGGCTTAGAAATTTAAGGCCAGTTATTTCTCAACTGTTGATGACATTTTTGTTTTGTTTTGTTTCTGAGATAGAGTCTTGCTCTGTCGCCAGACTGGAGTATAGTGGTGCAATCTCAGCTCACAGCAACCTCCACCTCCCAGGTTTCAGAGATTCTCCTGCCTCAGCCTCCTGAGTAGCTGGGACTACAGGTGCACGCCACCACATCCAGCTAATTTTTGTATTTTTAGTAGAGATGGGGTTTTACCACGTTGGCCAAGCTAGTCTTGATCTCCTGATCTCGTGATCCACCCACCTTGATCTCCCAAAGTGCTGGGATTACAGGTGTGAGCCACCACAACCAGCCAGCACTGATGACATTTTTAACAATATAAGTTATTTGAATGCAAACATAAGACTCAGACAATGAAAGAGATTTATCATTAAAATCTAGAGGTCCATTATTAAAATCTCACAAAAACCACAGTATAATAAAACAGCAGTTAAGAATACGGTCTTTGGGTCACAAAAATCCAAATTCAACTACTGACTGCCACCCACTAGCTGTGTGGCAAGTTAGTCATTAATTAAGTCAATGAATTCAGCTTCTTATCTTTGAGTAAAAGTTAGTTATTAAACTATTTAAATACTATTAACTATTTAATTTAAATATTTATTTAAGAACTAATTCATTAAATATGTGAAATGCCACTAAAGTATTTAATCAGTAGAGTACCAGACGTATAGTAAACAATCTTTTATTACTGATTTCCCCATATATCTGCCAAAAAATATTGGTTCAATTTTATTGAATATTGGGAATTTAAATTTTTCTGAATACACTATAAGAAGGTACAACAATGAGAATATTGGATTAATCTTTCTAGCATTAACCTAATCATAAATTTCAATGTGCTACTGCAATAATTTGATAAGCAACTGAGTGATATTAAGTAATAAAATGACCTTACGTTAGAAAAAAACCTGTATTTGCTAAGCTGATTTTGAAAGTTGAGTGTTTTGCTTAAAGAAACAAGACAGGGATGCTACATCAAAAACAAATGATGTATACTTACGAAACATCAATTTTTCCATCTGACTTCTTGGTAGCACCAGTAACCTTTGTATTCAATTTAAATTTAAACCCCTGTTTTTGAAGGATGCGTTGAAAGTTTTTAGATATCTCCATATCAATTCCAACTCCACCTACATGACCTAAAAATTCAACTGCTGTCACATCTGCACCAAGTCTTTGCCAAACTGAACCCTGCAAATAAAAACCCCAATAATCATAAAAGTTTCTATAGCAAATGTTTATGAAATCATCTTAATAATTTATTGTAAAATATTTTCTTCTTTCACTAGTATGTTCCTATGAGAAGCTCTGAGGTTTAAAATTAACCCTGTGTTAAATATGTATAACTTCATACATTTATTAACTTATTCATTCAATATCTGTTGAATACTACATGCTAGGCAATATTTTAGCTTCTAGGCATACATTAGTGAACAAGGCTAAAATCTCTGTTCTCAAGGATCTTATATTCTGGCAGGGGACATAGACAAATACGTAAAGTTCATAACAGAGAATAAAGTGCTACAAGAAAAATAAAACAGGAAGTAGAACTGGGACTACTGATTACCAGGATTACAATTTTGAATAGCACGGTTGGGGAAAGCCTCACTGGGAGTGACATTTGCACAAAACTTGAAAGAATGAGGCAATGAACTATCTAGTTAACTGGGGGAAAAGTGTTGTTCTAGGCAGAGGGAAACAGCAAGTGCAAAGGTCTTGAGGAAAAGGAAGTAGGCTACAAATCACTGATGTTTGCAGAATATTAAACTGGCTTCCTATTTTCTTTTCTCAACAAAGGACAAATTTTTACTTTTTCATTCAAATTATAATTTAAACTGAATGCCAGTTTACTTTAACATTTTGAAAATTAGCATAACTTCTAAACAATTATATATTAAACAATACATAACTGGCAAGATAAACATAATTTCACAGCATTAAATATGAAAAACCATGAACATATCCTTTGCAAGAATGTATACTAAAACCATCTGGTAATTCAAATGAACTATACAAGTTTACCTTCCCTAAATTAGGTGTGGGCATTCATTTAAAAAATCTCATGAATTTCTGGTATGAAGACTGAGTTAACTAGAGGCAATACAGTGACACTAAAAATCTAACACTATGTACATATAAAAGTTAACTCAAAATGGATCATGGACCTAAATGTAAAACCCAATACTATGAAACTTCTAGAAGAACACCTAGGAGAGGAAATCCTAGAATTGACCTTGAGTTAGGCAAAGATTTCTTTGATGTAACACCAAAAGCACAATCCATAAAAGAAAAATGATAAATTGGACCTCATCAAAATTAGAAAGTTTTAGATAACATTGAGAACACAAAAACAGAAGCCACAGACTGGGGAAAAAAATTGCAAAACTTCTATCTGATAAGGGATTTATATCCAGAATATACAAAGAATTCTCCAAACTAAGAAAAATTCAATAAAAAATGGACAAATGTCTGAAGAGGGAAGATACAGAGATGGCAAATAAGTACATTAAAAAATGCTCAACCCTGTAAGTCATTAGAGAAATCTAAGTTAAAACCACAATGAACTGAATTCAACAACACATTAAAAAGATCATTCACCATGATCAAGCAGGATTCATCCCAGAGATGCAAGGATGATTCAACATACATAAACCAATAAACATGATTCGTCACATTAACAGAACCAAGAACAAAAACCATATGATCATTTCAACAGATGCTGAAAAAGCCTTTAATAAAAATTCAACATCCCTTCATGATAAAAACCCTCAAAAAACCGGATATAGAAGGGACACACCTCAAAATAGTAAGACAAACTCACGGCCAACATCATACTGAACGGGGAAAAATTGAAAGCCTTTCCTCTAAGATCTGGAACAATATAAGAATGCTCATTTTTCACCACTTTTCTCAACATAATACTGGAAGTCCTGGCCTCAGCAATTATAGAGGAGAAAGAAACAAAGGGCAATCAAATTGGAAAGGAAGAAGTCAAATTAATCTTTTGTGCAGACTATATGATCTTATATTTAGAAAAACCTAAAGACTCCACCAAAAAACTATTAAACTTACAAACTAATTCAGTAAAGTTGCAGGATACAAAATCAACATACAAAAATCAGTAGCATTTATATACACCAATAGTGGACAATCTAAAAAAGAAAAAAAAAAGCAATCCCATTTGCAATAGCTACAGAGAATATAAAACACCTAAGAATCAATTTAGCCAAAGATGTGAAAGATCTATACATAAAAAACTAAAAAACACTGATAAAACAAATTGAAGAGGACACAAAAAATAGTTCATATTCATGGACTGGAAAAATTAATATCGTTAAAATGACAATACTACCCAAAGTAATTTACAGATTCAATGCAATCCCTATCAAACTACCAATGACATTCTTCAACTGCCAAAGTAATCCTAAACAACAACAAAAAACCTGGAAGAATCATATTACCCAGCTTCAAAATTTACTAAAAAGCTGTAGTAACCAAAATAGCATAACACAATACTGTCATAAAAAGACACATAGACCAATGGAACAGAATAAAAAACCCAAATATAAACCCACACATTTTCCGCTAACTCATTTTCAACAAAGGTATCACAAACACAATGAGGAAAAGGCAGTCTCATCAATAAATGGTGCTAGGAAAACTGGATAACCGTATGCAGAAGAATGAGACTAGACCCCTCTCTCTTACCATATACAAAAGTCAAATCAAAATGGATTAAAGACTTGAATCTAAAATCTGAAACTATAGAATTACTGAAAGAATACATTGGAGAAATGCTCCAGAACACTGGTCTGGGCAAAGACTCATTGTGTAAGACCTCAAAAGTACAGGCAATAAAGCAAAAACAGACGAATGGGATTAAGTTAAAAAACTTTTGCACAGCCAAGGAAACAATTCACAAAGAGACAACCCACAGAATGGAAGAAAATATTTGCAAACTATCCATCTGACAAGAGATTAATAATCAGAATATATAAGGAGCTCAAAAAAAAATCCAGTTTTAAAATGAGCACCAGATCTGAATAGACATTTCTCAAAAGATGACATTCAAATGGACAACACATGTATGAAAAAATGTTCAACATTATTAATTGAGAAATACAAATCAAAATCACAATGAGCTATCATCTCACCCCAGTTAAAATGGTTTTTATCAAAAAGATGGCAATGCTGACAAGGAAGTGGAGAAAGGAGAACCCTCATATACTGTTAGTGGGAAGTAAGTTAGTAAAGCCACTACGGAAAACAGTATGAAGGTTCCTCAAAAAACTAAAAATAAAACTACAATATATTATATAGATTATATTATTATACAGATAATAAAACATCTGAATGTAATATTTCAGAAGTAGAGCAATTCCTGGTGATTACAAGGCACACTGGCTCTAAAATGGAGGGAGGTCATTGGAATTGTGTGGAAAGCTGCCAAATGGACAAGAAGGGAGAACAAGGCAGACAGAAGGTCTAAAATAACATGGTGTTCAGAGAAATGCAAGTAGTTTGACATTTCTAAAACCTAAGAGGCATAAAGATGAGGATAGAGAAGGGAAGAGCCAAATCATGTATGTCGTGGTAAAGAGAATAATCTTTATCTGGAATGCAATTTGCTCAGGATAAAAGCTGTCCTCAAATATCTGAATGGCTGTCATATTAAAAAAGAATTAGACCAGTTCTAGGAAATAGGAGGGTGGAAGGTACAAGGAAACAGACTAAAATAAAGAAGAACATTCTAAATGAGTAAATAAATAGGCTGTCTTGAAAAAAACAAAAGTAAACTCTCTTTACTAGAAGTGTTCAAGCAAAACTCAATGCTGATCAGCCTATAATGTTATACAAAGAATCAAAAAGGTGACCTTTAAGTCTCTTCCAACTCCAAGGAGGTAATAAGAAGCAGAAAGACAACACTTACCAATTCTACACCTATTACTCCTGCACCAATAACAACCATCTTTTCTGGAACTCTTTTTAAAGATAAAGCACCTGTAGATGACACTATTGTATCTTCATCAATCTGTAAGAAAAACAAAAGATATAATCAAAATAATCTGAAAAAACCTAGTACAGTCGACCCTCCATATCTATGGGTTCTGAATTTGCAGATTTAACCAACCATGCACTGAAAATATTCAGAAAAAAAATTGATGGCTGCATCTGTACCAAACATGTACAGATGGGTTTTTTTGTCATTATTCCCTAAACAATACGGTATAAGAACTACTTGCATAGCATTTACAGTGTATTAGGTATTATAAGTAACCTAGAGATGACTTAAGTATACAGGAGGAAGTATGCAGATTATATGCAAATACTATGTCATTTTATGTAAGGCACTTGAGCATCTGTGGGTTTTGGTATCCAAGGGGGGGTCCTGGAACCAATCCACGAAGGATATGAAGAGATAAATGTATTTATAAACTGTGATCTCAGCAGAATCACTAAAAATACTACGTCATTTATTTGTTTTGAGGTATCTATATACCTAATTCCATCAAATCCCATTAAAAATGCTGACTTTAAATTTTATCCTCCAATATTCCAAACGCAATGGTCAATTTTAACTTCATACTGTACTCAAACATATCTTAATATAAAGTGTTCTATAGCTGGTCAAAATCACTGCAGAATAAAGACAGGTAACTTCCCAAAGCTGAATGACCATCAAAATATAGTATTTCAGTCAGAAATCTCTCATTCAAAGTTCACAAATAGCATAAATAATTTATAAAACATATTTCTAAAGAAAAGTTGTAATGGTTGTAAATTACGAAGCACAAATACCGTGATTCCAGGAAAAGGAGTAACTTCTGAACCCGTGGCTATAAGAATGTTCTTTGTATCAACAACCTGAGTGCCGCCATCAACTTTCGTAGCAGTGACTTGATTTTTGCCAGTTATCTTTCCATATCCATTGACATGAATAACCTTTATGAAATAATGTTTATAAATTCGCAAAGTTTAAAGTAATTTGTTTGATGAATCATTCCAAGGAAAAATTACTCTGTAAATAATTTATCTAAAACAAAATGCTTCCTTACTCAGTAATGCTACACCATGCAGCAAAACATGTGATATATGTCAAGGAAATCTATTTCAGGTTAGCAAGCTATTTTAAATTAAATAAATATTCCCCTGTAACCAAGTTCAAATATCATCACTCCATAATGCAAAGTTTAATGTGTATTCAAAGTAAAGCAGAAATCTGAATATTAAACACTGACCTTATTCTGTTTGAATAAGTGGGCAATTCCACCTGTTAAAGCTTTTACTGCAGTACTCTTCTGCTCCATCATCTTGTCTAAATTCAAGCGAACTTCGGACACTGTAATTTGTTAAATTAATCTTTAGTCCTTAGCTAAATTCTTGAAGCACTGTGCAGTGTTTTTCACTCACCAACTGGAAAATTTCAATCTAATGCTCATAAAAGCCAGTATTAAAGTTTCAAAATGTAATAACTTATAATTATGGCTAACAAAGTTTAATCACCTAGGTTTTAATCACTCATTCAACTCAGAAGAGAACTCTGAAGCAACAGTATTGGATAAAAATGCTCAACTCAATTAAACCTTGGAGGTAAGAAGGGTATCTTAGAAAGTACCTCACATAACAACCAACACATATCTTAGAGATAAGGAAAAAGAGACTGAAAGATTTCTGATTTACCCAGGGTCACAGAGCTAGGATGTAAAAGCCTTGCCTACAATGCAGGTCTCCTGACTACCCCTAGCTCTTCTTTCTTTACATCATTCCATTTTTCATCTAGTATGATATTCTATATGATTTAGTGCATACACATCATCTCTATATCCAATGGACTGCCTGTAAGTAGCCCCTCAAACCTACCTCTGTAAAGAAACAAATGAAGGAAAAGTAACAACCCAAGGTTATGACTAGGTCCTGCCCAGAAGAGACTACCTTTCTGGAAGTACCTACCAACAACAATAAGTGCAGACAAAAGATTAAAACAGCTCAAAAAGTATGTCAGGAGACAAGATATGTTATGAAATGTCCTTTTCCTTTTCCACTATGCCTCACTCTTTCTCTCTAATTTTTCTACTACCAAAAGCTTAAGTGGGCCTTCCTTCCTTCCTCTATCTCCCCATAGTACTCAGGAATCCAGCCTTCTCAGCGATCTCCAGGTTTCAGGAAATGAAAACTGACTCTTCAAAAACACATAAAGGCAAACCTCAGGAAAAAGTTGGCAAAGGAACAGAAGATATAATGGTAGAAATCTGGATTTGCAGAGTTAGGCTTGGTTATACTTGGCTGGGAGAAATCTGGACTTAGGCCTTCCTTTTTAAGTAAATCTCTCCAAATTTTTGAGATTCTTTATTTTACTCTTCCTTCACTAAACATCTATTATACATACATTAGACACATTTAAGTCTTTAGACAGAAGAGCCAAGTCAAGCAGTCTGGTTATGTCATTAAGTATGAAAAGTATACTTACTTTCAATTCCTCTAGATGCAAAATCTTTTCCATGGGCCATATGGTAATAATGAGAGTTGTTCAATAAAGCCTAAAGGAAATTAAAAAGATTAAATTATCAAATATTCATACATAGACTTCAAATAGTCAAAAAGCACTTATGAAATGATAGTCTCTTTCTTTTTATTTTTTGAGACGGAGTTTCGCTCTTTTTGCCCAAGCTGGAGTGCAATAGTGCGATCTTGGCTCACCGCAACCTCCGCCTCCTGGGCTCAAGCAATTCTCCCTCGGACTACAGGTATGCGCCACCACACCTGGCTAATTTTGTATTTTTAGTAGAGAGGGGTTTCTCCATGTTGGTCAGGCTGGTCTTGAACTCCTGACCTCAGGTGATCTGCCCGCCTCGGCCTCCCAAAGTGCTGGGATTACAGGCGTGAGCCACCGCGCCCGGCCGATATTCTCTTTCAAATGTTCTCACCACAAAAATGGTAGGTAATGAATATGTTAATTAGCTTGACTAAATTATTCCACATTATAGTCATAAATCATAACACCACTTTGTATGCCATAAATATATACAATTGTAATCTGTCACTTTACAATAAAAATTTAAAAAGAAGTTAAAAAAAAAGACATGGCATTCTCTACATGGAATAGTATATGGGACTACACCCATTCAGTTTCTCTTATTAATCAAAGACAGACAATAATGATGTGAAAAACATTCAACAAACAAGAATGAAAAAGATTTTTACTTTCTTTAAAAGTAAAGGCATAAGTACACACTTCAGGGTGGCAGGTGAAAAAGGCAGTCATGTTTACATACATAAAGGACCTAAAAGAACAATTTACTTACTATCTATTATCTGTTACATTGGTAAAGGAAAGATAAAGAGAAAAAACTAGAACATCAGAGTCTGTCTGAATGGAAAGCTAGGCATTCTGAGACAAGGAAGCTATTTCAGGAATGAGCGGCAGAATAGTGACAGCACTCTTTAAGTTTTACAAAAGAGAAGTGTGTTTTTTATCATTCTTTTTTTTCTCTGCGTGAAATGTGCCACAACTTGGATTGTTTTTTAACAAGTGTATTTGTCTAATCTAGTCTCAATCCATCCTTCTAGTTGGTTGCTAGCGAAAAACAATCTCTGCGCTGTACAAAACATATGCTCACCTTAGAAGGAATACAACCAACATTCAAGCACGTTCCACCAAGTGTTTCATTTTTCTCAACGCAGACTGTCTACAACCAAAGAAAATATTATTTAACTGCACATAACCCCAATGTTTCAGATCACTAAAATTCCAAATATATGTCTTAATTTGTCTACAAAACAAGCTATTTGAGCTGTGTTTTCACAGAGACTAAAATATGTAGTCCTTTATAATTTACCATTTGAATAATAATAAACTCTTTTGGGCTAACCCAAAAGTGAATTATTCTAAAAGATATTTTTGTGTGCTTAACATTACCAAATATACGCTTTTAGTTCCATCACTGTATCTTCCAAAGTGTGATTAGAAGTCAAAATGAAAAGTACTGGGAAGAGAAGAAAACTAATAGATTTCACTTTCCATTCCAAGAGAATACTATAACCAAATGAACCTAATCTTTATTAGTCTCAGGCTTACAAGTTATTTATAGAGTTAAGAAAGTATTTACCATGTTTTTGCCTGCAAAGTACTTTATACACATGATCAACCCTTCCCAAATCAAAATAAATCAATACTTAGTTGGAGTTCAAACCTTACCTTGAAGCCTAACTGGGCAGCTTTAATAGCAGCAACATATCCTCCAGGACCAGAACCTATAACTGTTACATCAGCATCAACTACAATAAAAGCAAATTGATATAAAATAGTAAATTGCTTAATAGTTACCAAAAAGAGCTCTTTGGAAGAGCAAACAAATAACCCAATACTTAAATCTCTTAAGAGTACAAATCAGCATTTTCTACATAGTTTCTGCACTATTTTATTACTACTACTTGATGCTCTTTGATGCTACTGAAAAATGGCGTAAATATTCAAATTTCATTTTCGGTTATCTTAAATTTCATTTTCTATTATTTTCTATTCATTACAACATGCAGAAACACAACTGAGTTCTGTAATACTAACATTGTATCCACTGACCTTCCTAAATTCTATTGATTTAATAACTGACAGGAATTTAGTGATACTGGAAGACAAGTATGTATGAAGCAAAGAGCCTGAGCTTTGGAATTCTGACATTCTGGGCTTCAAATCTCAGCACTGCCAACGATTAGTTGTGTGAACTTGACCAAATGACTTAACCTTTCTGTAATATGGGGATGAAAACACTGCCTTTAATGATTGATGTTAGAATTAAATAAGATAATTTTATATAATGCTTTAGTATTTCCAATAAATTTAAGACCTATTACCTTTTTCAGGTCCTTCTGAAATATGAGGGAAAAAACAGCTTCCACGTAATATTTAACAAATATGTTTTGAACTTGCATATTGATATTTTTTGTATACTTTAAGATAATAGGCTAACCAGAATATTCAATTAACTACTGTGGCTATTTTTCAAATAAAGATAAAAAATTGAAAATTAATTTTGATCAGTATCCTTAGGAGTGTAACAATCGTAATACTAATGTGCAAATAAGTTCAATTACTCCCATTCTTCTCAATCCAACTTCAAATAAAGTAACAATGACTTTTAAGAGTTAGGAAACAGTCTCCCTTTTCTTCCCCTTCCACTGTCCTGACAACCACAACTAGTCTAGCATTTAGCAATTCGTAACACATATTCACATATATTATCATGTTTGAGTCTCAGAATTTCCTATGAGGAAGATAAAGATGTCATAAATAAGACATTTCACAGAAGAAACAAGAAGTTCAAGAGAGGTCAATTAACTTGTCTAAGGTTAACTGGCAAGTGAACTGCAGAGACAAACTAAGCTTTTTGACTCTACTTCCAGTAGTCTTTCCATTATTCAATACTATTCCATTCCTCAGTTTTAACCATCATAAACTAAAATCCCAGAGAGCAATAATCAAGCTTTATAATCACTACCTAAGTGACCTTAGGTGAGTAATTTAACCTGCCTCATCTTTGTTTCCATACCTGGCAAAAGAAAGACCACAAAAAAATCTACTTCATAGAATAAAATAATGTATGTAATAATTTAGCATAGTACCTCTAGCACACATAGTAAGTATTCTATACATAGTAGGTATATTCTGACCTACAAAGAATACTATTCTAATTTGCATCACCGCCTCTCCCCAAAAACACACATCCCTAGAGTAATATCATTCAAAAACCTTTGCTGGCCTGAATAGAATCATAGAACCTCTGTGTTGGTGGATAACTAAGTTATTCAGCCCAATTATCCACAAAAATCTAAGAATTCCACCTGCTGAATAAATGAAAGTACGAGATTTTCTTTGGTTATAGCAGATGATAACTGAGATAATACATGAAAAATACGTACAGTCATTTCAATAAATGAAAAATTGCTTCAATTTTTACTGATCCATCTGTGCTTTTTAGCCACCCTGCGTGGTTCAGACTCAGGTTCAGAATTAAGTATCTAATAAAATGTATTTTTATTTTCAAATCTTGAACCAAGTGATAATCTACACAACATCCCTCAAATGGGTTCTAATTTTTAGTTTCAGAGTAATGTAAATACAAGCTACAAAACAGGTTTCTTTGCTGAATTTTTAATGTCTTTTCTGATTAAAAATACAAGTTTACTGAATAAATTTAAATACACTAAATCAAAAAAAAAAAAACCCATCCACATTGCCATACAACCCAGAGAAAACTGTTTATAGAACCTCCCAATCTTTCCTCTAGGAAAGTTTTTATAAAATTGAATTTTTGCCATATTTTATATTCTTTTCTCATTCTTACATGAGCATATATATTTATAACATATTATTGCTATGATTCTCCAAAAACCCTTTTAATGACAATAAAACTAAATTAAATATTTTAAATTTTGAGTATATGTATTTTTGAGCATGTATCTTTAATCACTGATATGTAACAATTCTTATAGTAGGTCCATGGTACTAAAATGAAAAATAAATTTGGTTTGGAAAAGAACTGTTTTAGTAAGGTCAGGAGAAGTAAACAAGAGATAAAAGATAATAGCCAAAACCCTTGGGTTTCATTTCCCTATTCACTACGTAATCTTAGGGGTTATTTTTTTTTTTTTAAACTTCAGAAAATACCAAAAATTCAAGAGTTCCTCTCTCACTATAGATACTAGATGTAATATTCCATCACAATACCACTAAAGTGCTAAGATGCACAAAAATGAGAAAAAAGCAGACTCTTTATGTAAAGATCTGTCAACTGAGAATACAGGAGGGTATAAGCCAGGAACAAACTTTCAAAAACAAACCAGTATTTAGGGGAAGTATACACACATCTACGATATACTTTGAAATGTATCAAAAAATAAGATGGACTGATGGATAAATTGATGAGCACATATGTGGTACTGTAAGCACAGAAAATGTTAATGGAAGAAAATTATGGGTGTTCAATGTAAAATTCTTACAATTTTCTAAATGTTTGTAATTTTTCATAATAAAATGTCAGAAAAATAATCTAACTCTCACCTGTACCAAAGGATGCATACAAATGAAAGCTGACAACAAACGATTCTGACTCACCCTCTCCTTGTCAAGAAGAATTTTACAGGTTAGGTCCCATACATAAAGTTAAAAAATCAGAATACAGGCCGGCATGGTAGCTCATGCCTGTAATCCCAGCACTTTGGAAGGCCGAGGCAGGTGGTCACCTGAGGTCAGGAGTTTGAGACCAGCCTCACATGGCGAAACCCCATCTCTACCAAAAATACAAAATATTAGCCAGGCGTGGTTGTGAGAGCCTGTAATCAGCTACTCGGGAGGCTGAGGCAGGAGAATCACTTGAACCCGGGAGGTGGATGTTGCAGTGAACCAAAACCGTGTCACTGCACTACTCCAGCCTGGATAACAAGAGCGAAACTCTATCTCAGAAAAAAAAAAAAAAAAAAGGATACAGAAAAGTAGTTAAATGAAATACATTTATTTAAGGCAAGCCTGATGGAAAAATGGCAAATGACAGCTGAATAGCAATCTGTGTTTCAAGTGTCAGTGAAGTATCAGCTGATTCAAACATGGTCCTTTAGATTCTGAAATGTGTGCTCCTATCAGGTTTAAAGTATCAGGTTGATACTTTAAAAATACTGGAGTACAACAAGAAGTGACTGACTTGAACAAGGCAATTAATGTTATTAAAATTAACTCAAAGAAAAAAGGCAAGAAAAGTACTCTACAAATTCTCCAAGTGTTACATATTAGATCATTACAAGGAAAATAAGGCACCACATTATCCAGGCTACCACTGAAATAAAGGTGGTGTGTTACAAATCAATTTTAATCGTCAATATAATTATAAGATGTATCTCAAGAAGTCAGTCTGTGTAATCCCAGCACTCTGGGAGGCCAATGTGGGTGGATCACTTGAGGTCAGGACTTCAAGACAAGGCAGGCCAACATGGTGAAACCCTATCTCTACTAAAAATACAAAAATTAGCTGGGCATAGTGGTGCATGCCTGTAGTCCCAGCTACTCAGGAGGCTGACGCATGAGAATCTCCCGAACCTGCGAGGCAGAAGTTGCAGTGAACCAAGATCGCACCATTGCACCCCAGCTTGCACGACAGAGTGAGATGCTGTTTCAAAAAAAAAGTCAGTCTACAATACCTAACACTTGGGTAGTTTACAATGTGCCAGTTAGTGAGCCAGTCATGTGTACTGTCTTATGTAAGCCTCATTACATTTCTATGACATAGTTATTACTACCATTAACAGAGGAAGAAAAGGTTGAAAACAACTAAATAACTTGCATAAGGCTACACAACTAGCAAGTAATCTAGCCAGGATTCAAACAAGGTCCTCTAGATTCTGACATGTATGCTCCCACATACCATTATGTTCTATCGCCTGCCAAAACACTCAGATGATCCCATAATCTCCTGGACAATCAAGAACTTCAACTAAAATGACAAGAATATGCTTTACTATCAGAACAAAATCAAATAGTTATGACTCATCAGTACCTTCAATAACCTTACAATACAGTGAGGAAAAAGAGGTACATGTCAAAATGAAGATAAAACCAGATTTTTGGCTGGGCGTGGGGGCTCACACCTGTAATACCAGTACTTTGGGAGGCCAAGGCGGGTAGATCACCTGAGGTCAGGACTTCAAGACCGGCCTGGCCAACATGGTGAAACCCCGTCTCTACTAAAAATATAAAAATTAGCCGGGCATGGTGGCAGGTGCCTGTAATCCCAGCTACTCGGGAGGCTGAGGCAGGAGAATTGCTTGAACCTGGGAGGCGGAGGTTATAGTGAGCCAAGATTGTGCCATTGCACTCCAGTCTAGGAGACAAGAGCGAGACGTCGTCTTAGAAAGAAAAAAAAAAAAAACCCAGATTTTTAAAAAGAAAAATCAAACAGGAAAAGAGATGTCATAAGGCAATAATCATTAATTACCAAATGTACTGAATATAAGAGCTACTTGGTAAGGTTTATTTGCTGACATTTTGTTGAGGGGTAAGGGAAGTTGTTTTTACATTGTCAATGGCCTTATTCTCCAGTCTTTTTCAGTAACCTCCTCCTATAGTGAACACTCTATACTTGTTATCACCCAAAACTGTTCAGCCTCTGAAATCAACACTCCACTTTCTGGTCATAACCTCCTGGTCCCTAAAGAAGAAATACAGTAAAAAAAGAAATAATCTGAAGTAAAACAAACCTGGGTTCCAAACTCTACCCCGGCTAAGTTCTTGGGCCAATTACTCAATCTCTCTGGGCTTTGATAACATGGGGATAATAGTAAGGATGACACCTGCAGCCTCAGAGAGTGCGCATGTTAAGATCCTAAGAAGGTGCCAGGTGCATACTGGTTACTCAGTGTTACTCCCCTTCTCAGATCCACCTCCAAACTTCAGTCCGGCAGCCTCTAGTCTCATTCACATCCTCCATTTTAGTCTACACAGTGCTACCACAGAGCTAAAACCCAACTCAGATGTTATTCTCTTTGTTGTTATGCTCTATTGGTTCCCCAATCTCTTGTTAGATAAAGCCCATGTTCCTAAGTACAACATCCAAATTCCTTCAGTAACTATTTCTCCAGCCTCATCTCCTACCATGTTCTGTTTACTCACCAATACCATGCAGTTTAAGCCTCAGTAACAGTGAATTACTACTCTTAGCCTACATGCATAGAATTATGCTCATCTACCTATGTACGATCTGTTCCATCTACCTAGAAATAAACACTAACAGCACACATTTCACATTACAAACACTACGTTAAGCTCTTGGGGGGGTGTGCCATGCTGTGTCGTGTGTGTGTATACATAAATGACATAGCCCTAGTTCTTATAGTCTAAACAGGGAAAAAAAAAAAAAAAGAATTACAGTGAAAGGTCCAACCTGTAACCAGAGTTACTCTCAACCTTTTCAGCTATCAACATAATTCCTAAGGAAAGAATTATGTGACCATTCCCAATCCATATATATATAGATGTCATTACTCCCTATGCTTAGTCTGTGGACCCCAGTCACAATTATGTGTTGGATGTTTGTCTCCCCCAACTAAATTGTAAGCTCTATAAAAGCTGGGTCTTGTCTGTCTTGCTCACTGCTGTATTCCAGTAGTTAGCCCAGTGACTAACACATAGTAGATATTAGTATCTGTCAAAATAATAAAGAATGAATGAATGAGTGAACATGAGTGATATAAGTGCTACAAGTTTGATTAAGTGCTGTCATGAAATAAAAGGTCACATCAACAGCAACACACACAACTTTGCAAATTCTGATGAACCTGGTTCATAAGGCTATTCAGATATCTCTCAGATGTTGTAACCGAGACTGTATCATAGTAAGATTTGAACTTCTCAGGAGAGTCAATCAATACTCATGTAAGGAAGAAAACTGAATAAAACATTAACAGTGCAGGCTCTGAAGTCAAAAGGATTCTCCCAGCTCTGTCATTTCCTAGTTGAAAAACCTAACTCTTCCATCTATAAAATGGGGAGAACAGCAGCACATAGGTAGCAGAAAGGCCATGAGGGTTAAATCTGTGCCCAAGACAGAGTTAAGCCCTTAGTGCATCAGTTAATATTATTATTGTTGTAGCTGGATACTTACTTTGTACAAGACACCATACCAGATGCTTTGCCATAGAGCAGTAACTAAAACAGACCTGGCCCAGGGTTCATTAATTCAATAAATATGTACTGATTACCTACTGTATCACTTTAGGTACAAAACAAGTCAGTCAGTCACACACAGTCCCTGCCCTGATGAAGTCTGCATTCCTGGGGAAAAGACAGTAAGCACATACCTCAGACAAATACAAGTATGTGTGTAAAATGTTTGTTACTGCATCTACTCAAAGCTTTTACACACTTTACATACAAGGGTACTAAGTGATTCATGATTTACTCAATGTCAAGGCATCCCCAAACTGATCGTGGAACGCTCAGCCTCATTCCACTAAAATCTAAGTTCTGGCTCAGGAGCTGCCTGGCAAATAGAAGGCACTGAATAATCTTTGTTGACTGATTCCAAAGGTATAAAAAACATCCTTTAGAAATGAAAATCTAACATCTCTCCTGTTATGTGAGTTGAGAAAATGAGATTCCCATTTAAAAAGAGACAAAGTGTATAAGAGGTCCAACTTTTCCCCTCATCATCATATTAGCTTTTATTTAAAAAGGATTTCTTGAACTGTTTAAAGCTAGGATAAATCACTCACTCACTGTTGGTCATGGGTGACTAGAATCCTCCCCCTTCCTCTAGAAATAAAATATCCAAAATGATAACGGCTGGATAACAGTTGAGGATACAGGATTAAATTACTTCACAGAATGCAGGGAGACTGACAGTCACAGTTCCCCCAGATAATGATTTCTACAATTGAAGCTTTAAGACATTCGATTTTACTTATAATCCATATGGGTGAATTCAGTAAATGTCAAAACAGTTCATTTCAAATAATCAATATCCTTGGTACTTCAATATAATCCTATTGATTTTCTGTTTTAAATACTTAAAAAAAATAAAACACATATCCTTTACAGGAACTTCAAAAATAAAAAAAAAGTATACCGGAGAAAATTCCATGATCCATAGCTTCCTTTTAAGGTACATCCTGCTAATCTTTAAAACATGCTTTTGATAAACCCATGAAGACTTGCATTCAGGATGTCAAGAAAGTCATCTCATCATTCTAAACAGTATTAAAATAACCAACACAACCTCACTCAATGGACAAAATTAACTTTTTAAATGTAAACATATGAAATTGCTGCCCTGCTCAAAACCTTTGTTTCCCATCATACTTGGAGTACGATCCAAACTACTAGGCCTGGCTTATAAGGCACTCCATGATCTGTCTCCTGCCTACCTCTCTGATTTTACATTCTATGGGTTTCTGTTCCAGCCCCATCAGCCTTCTTGCTATTCCTTAAACTTCACAAGCTAAGTTCCACCTCAGACCTTTCTCAGTGTTGTTTCCCTCTGCCTGAAGTAACCTCAATCCTTCACTTCACTCAGGATCCTGCCAAGACATCATCTCCTCAGAAAGGCCTTTCCTGACACTGTATCTAAAATTATCTTTCTCCCTATCACCTGCTTTAATTGTCAGTTACTTCCCAAAATATTTATCCGTTACTTATATATTGTTTGTCTTTTATCACCAAATTACAAGTTTCACAAGAGCAGGGTTTTACCTTGTTCACCGCCTGGAACACATTAGCTCAACACACATTCAAACGAATAAATACATAAACAAATGAACTATAAGACACTTAACATAAGTTATTCCAATATTCACTTACTTTTACATAGAAACAAAAACGAACTGTCAACTAACGTGATGAAAAAAATGTTTTACTTAAGTACTTACTCGGCTGATCTGCGTAAGTTCTCAGAGGCACTGCAGAAAGACCCTGTAGGCCATGAGATATTCGATTGAAATGGCCCCTCTAGAAAAAGAAAATGTTCCTACTATGTAAGATATGAATTCAAAACATAGAACTACTTAAGGCTGATGAAAACAGAACAATTTTTGGCACACGTATCAAGCAAGGATTATTAGGGTATCTTCTTCCATTGCCACACAGAAGTTACAGATCAATTTTCCCTCTTTGACGATAACTCTTTGACGATAACTAATCATTTGAACTTTTCAGTATCAGCTTGCCACACCCATCTTTTTATTATGAATAGTCAACAAACCATCTCATACTTAATTTTAAAAATGTATTCAATGGTATTTTTATTCAATTTTCAGAAAACATGGCTAATTATTAGTGCCAGGGATCATTTTAATGTCATAAAGCTCTGAGCCAGCCGTGGTGGCTCACGCCTGTAATCTCAACACTTTGGGAGGCTGAAGTGGGCGGATCACCTGAGGTCAGGAGTTCCAGACCAGCCTGGCCAACATGGTGAAGCCCCGTCTCTACTAAAAATACAAGAGAATTTGCCAGGTATAGAGGCGAGCGCCTGTAATCCCAGCTACTCGGGAGGCCGAGGCAGGAGAATCGCTTGAACCCGGGAGGCGGAGGATGCAGTAAGCCGAGATCGCGCCATTGCACTCTAGCCTGGACGTCAGAGTGAGACTCCGTCTCAAAATAAATAAATGAATAAAGCTCTGAAAGTTCTAACTTAAATACTTGAATAATCTATACATGATAATCCTTTTACCTGTAATTTTTGTTTCCTAACTTTAAGCCAGCATGTATATATAGTCCACATTTACTTAGAACCATCTATGAAGATGTTCCTGAGCCATCAACTAGGAATAGCAAATTAGACAAGGTAACTTAGGAAAATGCACCAAGTAGTGTACTTACGTTCTGGAGCTACGACAGTTTGATAAAACTCATCATCTCCCTAATCTCTATATATGGATGGCTACCATTTCCTAAGGGCACTGAGGCAGAAAGAAAGAAAGCAAACAGCTCTGCTCCTATCACAGTAGGCAAATGGGCGGCAGTGACAAAACTACTCCAAGGCAACTCTTAACACTTGAGGTTAGGACAGCAAACCCAAAGAGCAGCCGATTGTCAATCTTAGAGTTTTAGTCCCACCTCCGCCGCTCCCTAAAAGCATGACTTATAGAATGTTACATTAACTTTTGGGAACGCAGGTTCCTCATCTCTGAAACAAAGGGGTTTGATCGCTATATTATTTTTGAGGTCTCCACCAATATAGTACCCGGCCACGGTGCCACATACACACAATTTGGCTGTGTCTGGTAGGCAGGTTAAAAAGGAAAGTTGTTCTGATAACCTGCTGCAATTAAAGATTTAAATATCCAGAAAGACCTGAGAGATGGCAATGAACACCAGCTGAAAGCTGCCAACACTGACAAGACCTTAGGGGAATTCCGAGGGCTTTCTGTTGGAGCTGACTGGGTCTGAACCATTCAAGAAGTGACCCCAGGGTTACCTGCCCACTGCATAAAATGAGGCCACTCAGGGGTCAGAATTAGGATGAGAAAAAGGCAGAGGGTATAAAGAGCCAGACTATACGGGACGTGGGTGGCTTACACTTCCTCCAAGGTAGAGGCCTCTGTGTGACCGGGATGGCCCTCGGCCCAGGCTTGGGGGTGTGGCATCTGTGACCGCCAGCCGTCACACAACCTGAAAGGACTCGTCACAGCCTGGGGCCCAGGCCCGTCCCTCGCCTGCTACCGCCGCAGGAGAAGCTGCTACCTCGGAGCCTAGGGCCGGGCTGAGCCGGTGCAGAGGCGGGGCCAGGGGTGGTGCGGGCCAGGCGCCTGGGCTCCGCCAGGCCAACGGGCTTGGGCCGCGTCCCGGACCCACTGAGCGGGACCTTCCGTGCCTCTGGCTCAGCACGACCCCACCTACTCGGCCCTCACCTTGGCCAAGGAGCAGTACACACGACTCCAGCTCTGCATTTTTCCGTTGTATCTTCCCTTCCGCCAATGCTTTCACCTCCGCTGGGCGCCTCCGCCGCCTCGCCAAGGTCTCCCCCGCCCTGCGCACGCACAGGCGCAGTTACGTTTTCGCTCGGGAGCAGCGCGATTGGCCCGCGCGGTTCTACCGTAAGAGGTGTTCCTGTCAGGCTAGGCGTCGTACGCTGTCGTAAGGAGCGTAGTGCTTTGTCGCAGCGGAGGGGGTGGTGGGAAAGATTTAGGGGCCGGTGTCAAAATGTCGAGCTACAATGTATTCTTATACTTGGAAGATGAAATAAACAAATAAAACTATCGTTTGCCTAATGCACGCTACAGACAGTAAAGCGTGACAAGTTTGACAAGCTCTTGGTTGTGCTAGGCATTCCTCGGCACTTTCTACAGAGATTTCATCCTTGCGACAACCATATGGAGTATTACTAGTATTTCCATTTCTTGGATGAGGCCCAGAGAGGTTAAACATTGACCCCAAGGTCTTGAAAAGGAGAGATAACTGCAGTCCCAAGGCCAAAACCTTTGATCTTAACTACTGCTTTATACTCGCTCCCCTCAAGTGCCATATAAGGGATGGGGCTACAGATTTTGGCATTGCCAGCATCCTGCTCTAATTAGCTAACTGACAATAGGTAGAAAACACACTATCTTCTATTTCTTTGGTTAAGAAACACATCTGCCCGGTAAAACAGAGTGGGATGGTGGATGAGATTTTAGGTTTTGAGAGATAATCGGTTGAAAGGGTTGAAAAACACTGTCTTCAAGATTGAGCACGAAAGTCTAAGGTCTGATTCTTGCCTTCCATAACTCGAAATAGTGTGAATAAACTTAATTCTACATTTATTGAAAGTCTACCACCCAGGCCTTGTGCTGGGCTAAACACTGGTTAGAAATTACTGCCTATCTATGTTCAGGTTTAGATATGAGTAATATTTAGTGTTTGTTATAGAGACGGCATTGCTGGCAGCTCTGTCCTGTGACAGGGTCCCCGGCTCCTTTTATCTCGTGACTCTGCCATCATGAGAGCTTGCCTTGAATCCTTCATTCAAGATGGCTGCTGGAGTTTCTACAATCATATCCCCTCATTCCATCTGATAACAAAGCCACACCTAGCTGCAAGGGGATCTGCAAAACATAGTCTTGTCACCTGAGTGCCTACCTAAAATTGTATTAATAAGCAAGGTGAGGTGAAGAGATATTGGGGGACAGTGAGTAGCCTCTACCACACAGATGGGGAGAATTGTCTCCTCTCCAGCTTCATGGCAGTTTTTGATATCTGGTCTAGGAGTTATTGTTCCATATGCACCAAATCTCACAGTTCTTTCCTGAACTTTCTGGGGCTTTGTCCCCTACTCCCTTGTCCAAAATTACAATATCGTATTTTTATTTTTTAAAAATGAAACATTTCCATCCCTTCCAGCTGTCATTCACAAAGCCTAGGAGCTCAACCTAGTATGAGAATTGAGGCAGGAAATAGATTCGTTACTGCACTCACCATGTTCCTCCACATTCCTCCTCATCTCTTCTACCAATTATACCTCTTCTCCTCTCAGCTAGAACAAAAGCCACAATGCATATAAATCAATGCAAACACGCTGGGGGTGGAGGGGGAGATGTCAACAATGGACAGCCCACACTTGCAGTGTTTGTATTCCAGCTAAGGAATATAACCAGAAATTGAAACATACTTATTTTGCTAACTTGATTTTTTTCACTTAAAACTCTCACGAGCAACTTTCCACGTTCATATTGGCCTACAACATTAGTTCTAATTGTTTGGGTGAGGGAGAAAGGACAAGATGGAGGAAGGTGAACAAGAAGGCACAATCCATGTTGCTTCCGAGTTCTTCCTCATCAACATTCCCGTGCGCGGGAAAATGCAGCCCGCCCCGGGAAGATGCAGATCAACCGAGCATGCGCCAGATGACGTCAATCCGAAGAGTTCGAAACTTACCCAGCCACGCCTATGGAGACGCCCCTATCACGCCCTTATCCCGCCCACTACCCTCCCCCTTCCAGTACCAATGCATAAAATTCTGCCACTGGCAGGAGCCAGCATGACTTCTTCGGCCCCCGCATTTGTGGACCAGAGAACCTCACCTGAGAGTGTCGGTGCAACTTCCCTGGCCCCCTACAGCTGAGGACCAGAGAACCTCGCCCGAGAGCGTATGCATATTTGCAAATAAAAGGCTGCCACTTTCTTCGCTCGTTTTGGCCTTTATTGATATTTAGTCTTTGTGTCTATTAATAGTAGTAATAGAGAAACAAAACACTAATGACTACTAAGTATTTTGGGACATACCCATTTAACTATATTTTATTATTAGATATGTAAGTCATTACCAATTTTTCAATGTCATGATTGAAAATCACCTGAGGTCAGGAGTTCGAGACCAGTTTGGCCAACATGGCAAAACCCCATCTCTACTAAAAATACAAAAATTAGCAGGGTGTGGTGGCATGCGCCTGTAATCCCAGCTACCCAGAAGGCTGAGGCAGGAGAATTGCTGGAATCTGGGAGGCAGAGGCTTCAGTGAGCCAAGATTGCGCCACTACACTCCAGCCTGGGCAGTAGAGCAAGACTCCATCTCAAAAAAACCTATCCTTAACTCCTTAATTTTCTGGTCTTTTCACCATACATTTGCATTTTGGCCACCTTATCCATTTCTATCCCGGCCCGCGGGATCGTCGAAGCAGGCCCTGGAGGAGGGAGTGGGAATTTGGGGAACAAGAGACACGAGAAATGGAGACAAGACAGTGCTCTGATCAAGTCTCGTTTAATGGTGGTAATGCAATGGCTTATATACACTTGGAGGGGAAGGGGTTGGGCCAGAGGCGGAGATGATCTCATTGCGGAGGGCGTGGCCAGGTAGGTATTGGTTTCTCTGGTTGGACGTCATGTTGCGCCTGCGCTGTCAGTTGGAAACTTTCCCAGGCGCGGGATGGCGCCTGCGCTACAAAGTAACAATTTTCGCGGGCGCGGGAAAAATGGGTGAAGAAGAAGCAGGAAGAGCGCCATCTTCTTGTGTTGGGCATATGAAACAGCAGATCAGGGAAAAAGGTAAATCTAGGGAGGGAGGTATGAGGTGGAAATGTGAATAGAGTCAGGCGTTTTTAATCGTCAGTTATTATTCGTTATGGGCGGGGCGCGCAGCTCCGGACAGGGTTCACCCCTTTTAATTATTTTTAAGATAAAGAAAACAACCTCTGGAAACCTGGCCGTCTTAGGGTTGGGTCAACTCATCCCCACCTTCATAGGCCCGTCATGGGAGTAGGCAAGCAGCAAAGGGCGGCCCTCCTGTCTAGGCTCGCGTGGAGATAGTGTCCTTCTTACGTTCCATTGACCTGGTTCCAGTTCAGCACACAGGGGAGGGTGGTCTTATTAGGAAATAAGACTCACCAATTTTCAGTCAATCTCA